GTGGGGGGGTGGGTTGCTTTTTTATTATTAAAACCTCATAAAAATCTTTAGCTTATAGCATGTTTTCTGTAGTGGCTTATCTTAAGAAATTGTCTCACATAGAGAAGATAGAACAGGTGCTAGAATCAACCTTTGGGCATTTTGCCCTGCTTAAGATAAAATCTAGAGAAAAAGTTTTTACAGAAAATAGTTTTTTATTTAACAAAGGAATTATTTTCTTCTGTGGCATCCAAACACAAAGATTATTTTTAAAAAGGAGAGGGGAAGTCTTGCTCAGCCACAGCAGTGGCTGCATCAGTAACCAAGATCAGGTCAGCTTTGATCTTGATGCCCTTTTCTAACGGGGGTGTTGGATGGAGATTGCCCAGGTGCTCCACAAGCACCCGCTTCTGTTCTTCATGGCCATTGTGGAGCAGCTGAGGTCTTGCTGATGAGGCCGCGTGTCTACATGTAACACAGCAGGCTGTCGCTGTTTCTGCTCAGACCTGTCTCTCCACAATTACAATTTTTCTCTGCTGGTGCGTTATTTTTAAAATCTGGAAGTGATACTGAGTGAAAGAACTGCTCTCCTATTTGCAGTTTTCTTAACAAAATGCAAAATTACTTTTTCTTTCAGTTGGCCAAGTCCAGGACTGAAGGCAAGATTCAAGTCCCAGACCATCGCTGCTGGTCTTCCAAATGCTTCTGTGTATTCTAATTCAGGAAGAAATAGCCCCGTAACAGGAAGTCCAGGAAAATATGGGAACGCTGCCTCATTCTCTCCAGACCCTGGGAGTCCTGGGCGCTACAGTCCAGCGTGTGTCAACCATGCTCTGTTAAAACCGCGTTATTTTTCAGAGCCTCCTGCCCACTAAAATCTGATTCATCTTCCTGGGACTTTGATTATATTTTCAATGTTAGAACGGAGGAAAAAACTAAAATGTTACTTAAGTGACATGAGGTTTGTACTTGGCTATTTATTTTTCCTCAATTGAGGACAACTGTATGTTAAAAAAAAAAAAAAGAGGAATATATGTCTTTATGCCACATATGAGATAGATTACTGGTGATATGCAAGAAGTTAGTGACAGTCAGTGCAGTTGTCCAGTAGCTGTGAATTAACCCTTGTTGCCAGTAAAGCCGTGAGCTGAACCTTCACTTAGAAATGGTGGTATCTTACTATCACTGGCTGTCATTATTGTAATGAACCCATTAGCCCTCAACTGCATTTCTTCTGCTTGGGTAGTCTGGAAGAAGCACATCATCAGTAAACTGAAACCTTACCAGAGGAAATTGAGGGCAAGAAGTAAAATGTTCTTCCCCTGGCAGGGGGAATGCTCGAAATGAAGAGCCTAAAACAAAGCCTGGGAAGCAGCAGCTTTCCAGTACGGAGTATGAATGTGAAACCCTGGGCGTAGCCAGAACGGGAGTGTTTAGAGCCAGCAGTTTGGTCTAGACAGTTGAATACACACACTCTTACATATATGTGTGTAGATGTGCACGTATTTACACAGAAAACCTTGAGTCTTTGCTTGTTCTGAGGCTGTTCTAACCACCATGATACACTGAGTGCTTTAGCAAAGGGTCACTGTAGAAATTACTGATAGTTCTTTAAATGTTAGTTTGAAGATGTAAAAAAAATCTAAAAAATTAGCTGTTTTTTTTTTCCCACAGAAGCTTTTAAACATTAGCAGATTTTAATAATTATTACACAAAAGCACATCAGCAATAATTTAATCAAATTTACCAGCAACATACTGTAACGGTCTAGTTTGTAATATATTAATGAGTGGTAGCCAGTGACCCATCATGTGGTTCCTTATTTCCCAACTGTAGAGAGAGGAATAAGGTCTAAAAATATTTTCATTGAAATCAAAGCTTTTACTATGTCTCTAGTCTTGATGTGGTAATGAGTTTTTGTTACAGCAGTCAATAATTTTATTCTTTAGCCTTCTGTAAGACTGACTTGTTTCGACAGTCTGATGCAGAGATTGAAGAATGCTTTTCAAAACTCAAGTTTTTTCCGTATCAAGCTTAATGGTTGTAATGTTGTTTGAAAGGCTTCCAGAAACAGTTCTCTAGTTAAAAGGAGAAAAAACCAAAACCAAACCTATCTATCATTGCAAGGTAAAAGTGAAAATCTGCCAAGGCTGTGCTGGTAAAAAAGGGCTGGACTGGGAGTCCCTGCATCACACAGCGGGGGAGGAGGTGGGGGGGCAGCAGCTGCAGGCAGGACGGGCAGTGGGAGCCCGCAGGGCAGGGACTGTTCCCTGGGCACCCTCCAGCAGGGTCAGGATTTGGTACAGACCTAAAAAAACTGCACTTAATGCTTTTGCAGGTTTAATAGTGCCTTTTGTAACATATTTTTTTTAATTAAATTCTTGTTCTTTTAGAAGTTTTTAAAAAAGTGGCATCCACTTACTATGGGCACGTAAAATACAGTTTTTCTTCTGGGCTTTCTGAACAGAACGTATTTTAATGTCTCACTCTTTCTAGTTTATTTGGTGCGATAGCTCTCCACTATAGGAGAGCATTCCTCTTTTAGAAATTATTCTTTAAAAAGGCTTATTTAGCTCTTTCTTTATAATTAAGCCTATTTTCAAGGAGCTGAACATTAGGAAGAGCTACTTTACACAAATGACTGTCATTCAGCAATATTCCAGACAGCTGGGTGGGGTTGGTGGGGGGACTCTTTAAGAAACATTTTTTAAAAAAAAAAAACCATAACCTGCTATGTTACCAAGTATATTAACTGACTTTTTCATGAGGTTTTTGATGCAACGGTCTCTGTGGTCTGAAACAACTTTTTTAGGTCCCCAGTTCCTACAGTTTTACTTTAAAGGGCTTGGGGTTTTTTGGTTTGTTTGTGGGGTTTTTTTGGTGTGGCTTTTTTTCCCCAGGTTTGGGGTTTTTTAATAATTTAATGTAAATTATGTCTTTGTCATTCTGGAGAAATTATTTAGGTGATGAGTAATTGCTTAATACCATGTCAAAGCCAGATTCAGGTGGTGAGGTGCTGTGTGTGCAGCTGCTGTGCTCCAGCCTGGGCTGTCAGACAGCAGCAATGCCCTTTTATGTGTTAAGAGCTTGTTCTAGAGCCAGGAGACCAATACTAACACTCTGGTACTTTTGGCCTTTTTACCTTTGTTATGCAGTCTTTCTTTTTTCTAATATTTAAATGTGTATTACTGGTATGTACATGTAGACACACACCCCCCACCCCCCCCTCCACCTCTACCACCACCCAACCCTTGCCTTTCACTTTGTAATATTGTTTTTGTTCAGTCAGGAGACTTTTTTTTTTTTTAAACTGTGTTATATAAATACATTAGTCCAGCTGTACCACATCTTAAGAGGTCATTTTTCTAACACTATATTTACTTCAGCTATTAAAAAGAACAGTAATTGATGTAGCGATTTGATCATTCATGATTGTGAAGAAAGCTCTTCCACACTGAGCCTGTGGAGACACTTTAAATCAGCTTGATACTGCTTGAATTGTGTTTTCTTGGCTAAAAGTTCACGTTTAAAGGTGCAAAAGATTAGTTGTGGGTGTTTTTTTAATTAGCCAAGTGTCACATAAAAAATACAGTTACCCTGCTTTCTATTAAAAAAATAAATGAGTAGCTGAAAGTGTCACACTGTGTTTAGTGTATGGGCATGGTGAGAAGCACCTGGGTTGATACCATGACACAGCACATCCCTACTCCAACTTTGTGCATCCTTGTGTGCATGCACAACAGCAGGGGAAGACTTGAAGAATAATTTCAAAAAACTTGAATTTTACATTTCATCCTTGCCTCTCCACAGCTTCAGTGCCACTGAAAATGTTTGCTTCTGTACATGTGCAGAGGTGTGGTGTGGCCTCCTAGAACCTGGGGGTGTGGAAGGGTGAGTGCAGACACACACACACACACACACACACACACAAAACCACACAGAATGTTCATCTCACTGGCTTTGGGGCTTCTGTTCCATGTGGTGGGAAGTGACACAGCCCTGGAGCCCCAGGATCTTGCACAGCAGTGCTGGCATCCACTCTGGGGCCAAGGAGAATTGTCTTTGAGCCCGCTCCTACATCAGGTTTACATTTCGGCTCCTTGGGGGTAAAAGAACAAAGGTGGTAACAGTGCTGTTATAACCCAGACACTGCGGGGCACGGAGGCTGCTCGC